CCTCCTCCTCCTCCTCCTCCTCCTCCTCCTCCTCCTCCTCCTCCTCCTCCTCCTCCTCCTCCTCCTCCTCCTCCTCCTCCCCTCCTCCTCCTCCTCCTCCTTCCTCCTCCTCCTCCTCCTCCTCCTCCTCCTCCTCCTCCTCCTCCTCCTCCTCCTCCTCCTCCTCCTCCTCCTCCTCCTCCTCCTCCTCCTCCTCCTCCTCCTCCTCTCCTCTCCTCCTCCTCCTCCTCCTTCTCCTCCTCCTCCTCCTCCTCCTCTTCTTCTTCTTCCTCTTCTTCATCGTTCCAATTCTTTCTCCCGGGACTACGGGAGAGTACATGTGGTCGTATTCTAAGAAAAAATATATCGTAAATTTTTATTTTCGATAATAATATTATGTCCTAATCAATAAAGATATTATGTATTTTAATTAATATTTTCTCTCTATCGATTTACCGGGTGAAAACACTCGCTGATCGGGAGTACTTACTTCCGTATCTAAAAACAAAGTTGTATTAAGATTTTCTAATTTTTTATTATTTGTTTTTAAAATTATTTATTTAAAAATGCAAACCTACCAGATGAGAGCTGAATAATTTCTGGCACCTCCTCCTCTAATTCCTGCGTAGGTTCAATACGTGCCCTTCCTAAAAAACATTTTAATATTTTTAAATCTTTGGAAAAATTTTTATTTTTTAACATTACTCCTGTCTAGTTTTTAATAATATTGCTTACGTGCTGGACTTGCTTCTATCTCATCCTCCGCTCGTCGTCTTCGAATTTGCGTGAGCGGATTCACCACCGCAGTGATTCTTTGACGTGCATTTCTTATTATAATTTATTATTAAAAATTAGCTAAATCGCTAGATATATGAGTTACTTTTATAAAAATAATAGAGTCACTTACCATTGTGGAGGTGAGAGAGGAGATTTTGGATGTGACCACCCACATCCTCCTCCTCGTGTCCAACCGCACGTCGCGTTTCAATTACTTCTCCGGCAATCCGGAGTAAACGCGCGTCGGTACCAAAATATCCTAGCTGATGCAATATTGTATCAGAACATTCGCAGGAAAAACGTGTGAAAAGCAGATAGTTGGCATCAAGCGAAATGTTAGATATTTGAGATAAAAATTTCTCCGCGCTTATGCGAATATCCAACATTGATGCTAACTTTATGCTTCTTTTAATCACTTCACTGCCCATTTTTCGCATCTTTATTCGCGCATCTTTATTAAAATAAGCCGAAACTTTTAAAACTCGCGTGACGAAACCGAGATGAAGCACGAAAGAATTCAATTCAGAAATAGTTTTAGATAGCGCAAAACGCACTATATATAGGGAAAATCTTTTCCAAAAGAGATTTATAAAAAATTGTAGAATTATTCTGTAGTTTCGAGAAGATGAGGGGTAGGAATGCTATCTCAGCCCAGGTAATAAATCATTTTTTCTTGAAAAATTTATATTACTTGTAGCTTGACCCTTTTTCGATTTCACTTTTTTTTGTTTACTAACGGCATATAAACGGCGCCAGATATATAGCACGTCCAAATAAATAGTTATTTAAATTTTTCGGAAGGAAAGTTCTCGCTTCTTCAAACATTTAACAAATTAAACATTAACAAATTTTAAACATTTATAAAATATTTCTTACTCGTACTTCTATTGTATATTTCAATACTTTCTTCTTCTTCTTGAAATAGTTTCTGCATTTTACGATGATTTTACGATGATTTTACGATGATTTTTAAAT